CTATTAGGCACAGAATCTGATTCCAATCAGATCACTTAATAAGTCTAGTCAAATTGCACCACTTAATTAAGGCTCTAAATATAGGCTACATACCATGTAGAGTGGGGTTGTGGATTCTATGAGTGAGCCAATCATAGAAGTTGGAGTTGCAGTACTTGAAACCTTCCAAGATTTGCTCAAGGCTTGAGAGGACAAGATTGAGAGCGTTGTTGTGGGCTAATGCAAGAGCGCTAGCTTCTTCGAAACAGCCTCCATGGTCGGGACCTTTGGGATGGAGAGCTCTGAGAACCGGCAAGCACCCCAATGGTGACAAGTTTAAGAACCCAAATTTTCTTGCTCCTTTCTCGTACAATTTCTATGTACAAATAATATAATGTTACCAATAAGTAATTACAATGTCATTTACCATAATCAATCATAACCCAAAGTGATCAAAAACTTAAGATCTACACTTATCACACACACGTACAATAAATTAAATAATCATATAATAAGTGAATGGGAAGTTAGTATAGGTAGCAACTTACTTGGATTGCCTCTGTCAAGTTACCTATGACCATTCCCACATATTCCTCTAGACCATGTAGCTCTTGCATCTTTGGATTTCCAAAATAACCCCCTATGTAGTCATTACTTCCCATGCTAATGAAATAAACAGCTTTCGATATGGTCTCCGTCACATTTTCAGGCCCTAACTTTTTTATTAGCGATCTCTCTAACTCCTTAATATGCCTTAATTGTGTTCCAAAATCGATAACCTAGTATATGTATATACATTATTAATGAATTAACCTCATCATATCAATTCAATCAATTTTTTTTTTAAAAATACATACAACTAATTTTTCAACATGCTTACATAAACAAATTGTATGAATTGGTACTAATTAAAGAATAAGGAATGTGATACACTAACCAAACCCTCATGGGTGGTAGAAAGAATCCCTCCTCCTCCAGAGGCAAAATTAGCTCCACCGCTATAGTCAGCATTTGGTTGCAAGTAAGGAGGGAGCAATGGCAGCTTTGCATATTCAGCTGCACATATATAGTGGCAGGCAGCCAAGCATCGGGGGAAGCACGTCCGACGATCTGCATATGCCGTGGATCAATCTACACCTGCAACCAAGAATTGTGCAGAATCTTCCAAATTCAACCGTTGATGCTGAATCAATTAATTTGCTGCTATGGATTAATGCAATTATTGAAGATATTTTGGGACAGAGATGGTCAAGCTTTTGGAGCTACCTCTTGTTAATCATCACCTTGAGGACAATGTGATTTTGATGGACATGACAATGATACGACCATCCATTGTGTACCATCACCTTGAGGACAAGGTGATTTTGAAGGGCATGAAAATGATACACCCATGGTGTTGCTGGAGTTATTATTATTATTATTATTATTATTATTATTATTATTATTATTATTATTATTATTATTGTATAGTGGGATAACCACTATTTTAGGCATGTAATAGGTAGTTATAGAAGTAGTGGGGTAGTGGATAGTTAAAGAGGTGGTGAGTAGTTTCTATGATCCTGTATAAATACCTACCTATGTATTTGAAGATGACAATGAAGAATATATTTATGAATGTCTGGAGACATTTTGAGAGTTAGACTATCACTCGAAGTATAGTCGATGGGAGTTCGGCTGTCACTCGAAGCACAGCCATGGAGTTTGGCTCTTGACTCGAAGAAGAACAACCCATACAACCTCAGGGTTGTATCAGCATTGATTATATTCTCTTAAGATTATTATTGGATAATTGTACTTAAATGAATTATGCCCTATGTCTATACATTCTATTAATGCTTAAGTTTAGTGAGCATTAGAAACATAAAATATTGTGACAAGCAATTTAGAAATTATCATTTCATATTTTATATGGTAAGTGCTATGAACATTATATGACATTGTTTTTGTGTCACAACTTGTTCTTGTATGCAATATGCCCATGTGAATTATGAAAGAATTTTTTTGACATAATTATTTGCTATAGGTCATAAATGATGGGTTTATCCCATATATTATAAATGAAAGCTAGTTTGATATGCTTATTAAGTTATGAGATAAATATGTATAATTATGCTTATGTTGATACATGCTATTTTTTAAATATCATATGGAGAAAATTGGATGTAAATCATGTGATGCCTATTTTGAAAGGCTATATTCTTGAAAGATTCAACTGAATACATCATCATTTTTAATTTGGATCTAGAAAAAATGAGAAAAATGTAGGTGCGTTGTGGATAGTGCAAGTGTGCAACCACACAAGAATTCAGAAAACTAAAAAAGACCTAAAATAAATTTGTGTGACAACAAGTCGGAGATGGAACTCCTCCAGTACAAGGGGGATGCGGCTACATATGCTGTCGTGTATTTTAGAAAGATCATATGAAAAACAGCATTCTTGAAATTAATACTTGCTGAGAAAAAGTTCCCAGATTGTCATCCCAACTCCCCAGCGCTAATTCATGTGAAATCCTTGTTTTTCGCTTGGATGCCATTATGCACTCGGGATTAAGGTATTTAGCCCCTTGATTAAGGGCAGCCCCTTTCCCCACCCCTGGTTGGAGTTATAATAGGGGACATTGATTCCTCCACTAATCGGGCATAACCGAACCCAATTAATTTAACAAGCCTGTAAAAGTGAGAAAGTCAAAGTCAGCTAAAAAGAAACTATTAGGAAACATAAATTAACAAAAAGCCTCAAGCCCAAGCAATTTAACAAAGCCAAGCCTAAGTCAAGCATTTAGAGGCCCACTAAAACAACCAATCGGTCTAACCAAATAAAAGCCCAAGCAGCCAAAAACTAAGTACTAACCCAATCGCCTAAAAAAAGCGATAATTAATGGAGATTTCCAGAGAACAGGTAAGTGCCATCGGCGACCACCCCATACTCCGGCAACACCCACACCACCATGTCGCCAAACACAAAGAATGAAGCAGCGCCATCAGCGACATATATAAAACTGCCAAAGACTACCAGAAAATGGCTGAACAAACCCAAGCAAGACCCGCCCGAAAATGATTCAAAAAGCAGAGCAATAAAACGTAAAAAAAAAGGAACTATTCTATGAAATATTAAAGGAAAGCTAAGCTACTGCAACAAATTAATGTTTAACACCTGTTATTATCCATAAGCAAATGCTGAGGTTCGATTCTGAGATGAACAATGCCTGTGAATGTATAAATTTCAAAACCCTCAAAATTTGCCGAACACCCGAGAGCACTCTTTCCGAACATCGAACCATCTACATCCAATAGCAATTTGTGAACTCCGGTCATGGAAGAATGCGTACAACCACAACACATTGGGGTGTTTGATTGAGGATTTCTAACTTGTGGTTCTCTGTAATGCAATCCAGCTCTGTAATGCAATATCTGGTAAGGCTGGGATGGGATAACCATTTCTTTGAAGATATAAGTATTTAATTTGATTGGTCGTTAAATATGAATTTTATAGATATTTTTATTACCTTATGTTATATTAGACTCTAGATTTTTTTGTTGACCACCTAGAGTTTGATTTATAGAGATGTGTTCTAAGTAGAATTTGTATGTGACTCTAGCCAGTAAACTAGTTTAGGTGGTCAACAAAAAATCACAAAAATGTAAATTAATCTAAGATGCCATAGCAAAATGGCTCAAATGAAAAAGGCTAATTGATAGGAATATATATAATAGATTTGTTTGCTCAGATTTATTTAAATGTCAAGAAGATTTATGGAGCAATAAATGTTTCCTAGAAGCAACAGAGTTTTTAGAAGAATTTGGGGGTTGTGGAATATTTAAAAAACAAGGAGCAAAGTTTTTAAAGGGTTGTGGAATATTTCAAAAACAAGGAGCAAAGTTTTTAACATTAATTTCTGAAAGTTTAAGGGCCTGTTTACTAAACTATTCTCTGTTTCTGTTTTTTAATTTTTCAATTTTCATTATGTTTTCCTTTTAGAAAACTTGGTTACTAATACTTAATTTTTTAAATTTATATTTTTAATATTAATGTTATAAAATTAACACAAGTTTAATTTCGAGTGATTTTTAGATCTTATATTTAAAATATTTTACATATGTTTGGTTTAAACAGAATAAATTTTTTTTTTTTTTTAATTTTTAAGTCTTAATATACATCAAAACTAAAAATATATTTGAACTAATAACCTACTAAATTCACCTAAAATTTAGTTGAGATAATATTAATATTTTTTGAGCTAATATTTAAAATATTTTTTGGATATATTCATTTGAATGACATGTATATGAATATATAATTTTTTTCCTTTGAATTTTAATATATGTGAGATTTCAATATCCGATATCCGGACCGAATTTGTATTACGATATAAGATAACTAAACATATCCGAACTAATAATCTATTGAGTTCAATCAAAATCTAAAGCATTGTATAGAGTTCAATTCTTAATTTTGATAATGTAAATAATGTCCAACTTTAAAGTGTAAGCAAATAAGTTATATTTAAATAAGTAAAGTAAGTAAAAAAGATAGAAGATGGTGATAAGTAAAAGAAGATGATAATGAATGTAATCATAGCAATGTGGTTATAGTGACATGCAACCAAATAGATGATAGATGATTATGTTTTCCATTTAGAAAACAGTTTTTAAGAGTGTTCCAATTTTTCTAGAAAACTGTAAAATTATTTCCAGTTTTCAAAATGGAAAACTGTGCTAGTAAACATGTTTTATGTTTTCTATTCTTCAATTCTCCAGTTTTCTCAAAAATTTTCTATTGGTATAAATGGCCCTAAGAGTTTTTAATGGGAAGAATTTTCAAAAATAAAGAAGGACTTGGCTTGTAGCAAGAGATTTCAACTCAATCACTAAAAAGCAGGAAACTTCTAACCCAGCTAATTTTTGGTATCCTCAGACCATTCACCTATTCTAGTTCCATTTCAGGCCTGACTTGATCAAATTGGATAAAAAGCTTAGAAAGGAATACGAGGAATATTATGAGAACATTAACAGACAACTAACTAACGTTGTATATATATTCGTACATGCATCAACGATTATTCACGACCGAGCTGATGCAATGTAACAGGACAAGGAAGAAATTAAAGATAACGTCAATTAATCAAGTATAAAATACACACTTGGACATAGACTTATTGTTTAATCTTCATTTCTCCTAGTTATTCTTGCACCGAAATGATTTAATTTTTACATTTTTAATGATCAATGATTGAATCAAACTATCAAAGACAATAGAATTTACTGCAATTATATTCTATAATTTTTTCCCTTCTTACAGAGCACATTGTTATGTCTTCCAAAGCATAATATTGTCCCTTAGCTTCGAAGTGAATATTGTTTTGCCTTAGAGCATATAGTTGAGCCTTCCTGAACACATTAGCCCTGTTTGGTAAAATAGTTAGCCTATAAGACAATTTTAGCTTATTTAACCACTATTAGTTGTTTGACTTGGTTTAAAAATCAATATATAAGTGTTTGGTACGGTTAATTAGTTTTTTGTACTCCAAAATGCTAAAATTAAAAAAGCTACTCAAAGCAACTTTTTCAATTAGCTTTTTGAGAAAAAAAATTATACCAAAAAGTTTTTCTAATTACTTTTCGTGGGAACAATTCTTACTCTCACTACTACATTTGTTAGGTTTTAATTTGGGACGGTAGCCTACAACAGCTCTACTACAAAAATTATCTCTCTCTCTACTTTATTTAACTGTTTACGTATTGCAAGCCTTCAATATTAACCAACATCTGTGTTATTATGCACAATATTTTACATACACTTATTTCGCAGAGCACAATTATATTTAAGTTAGATTATTTTATCGAGCATTCTTCCTACTTATTTTATTTCTATCTAGCTTTCTAAGGGTTGAATATAATCTAGAATAATTTGAAAATTTGACTTTTTATACTTGATCTCAACTTGGTTTTGGAGTTACCCCTCAACATGAAATGACGTTAAATTGTTAAAACCCATGAAAAAAAAAAGCCTATTCCAACACAACATACAACTTGAAACCCTATAATTAATTAATCAGATCAATTATCCTATCAACTTTACTGGTATTGCCCATTTTCCAACACAACCAACAAGGGCAATTGTCACATAACAAGAAGGTAGAGTCGAATTATTAGAACCAGATCAGAAAGCGAGTGTACTGTGCATACTAACGTAACCCAGAACATTAACAGACAACTAATTAACATTGTGTTTTTGTATATTAATTAAGCAGTGATGGGGTGTTCATTTTCTGGATCATCGACAACGTCGGCAATGGTTAGCTTCGTGTCGGGGAAGAAGAGATGTTTCAGGCTGTAAGGCCCGACGGTGGATGGCGGCCCGTCCCACAGCGTCTTGGCGTAGTCTCGGTGGATCCTCTCGATAGGGTGAAAGGAATCAAACCATATGTAGTCTTCAACGTTGTCGCATTGCGCATATTCTTCACTCACTTTTCTCCGTCCACCGCACGACGGAATGCCTCTATAAGGCCCGCTTCCGCAGCAAGCATTCACTCCTTCCTTGTATCCTATTCATGCAAAATCAGAACAACTTCTAGTTATTTAGTCTGAACAGTACGAGTACCATATGTGCTATATAATGAATATCCCATTAAGTACAGAATCTGATTCCAATTAGATCACTTAATAAGTCTAGTCAACTTGCACTACTTAATTAAGACTTTAAATATATGCTACTATACATACCATGTAGAGTGGGGTTGTGGATTCTATGAGTGAGCCAATCATAGAAGTTGGAGTTGCAGTACTTGAAACCTTCCAAGATTTGCTCAAGGCTTGAGAGGACAAGATTGAGAGCATTGTTGTGGGCTAATGCAAGAGCGCTAGCTTCTTCGAAACAACCTCCATGGTCGGGACCTTTGGGATGGAGAGCTCTGAGAACCGGCAAGCACCCCAATGGTGACAAGTTTAAGAACCCAAATTTTCTTGCTCCTTTCTCGTACAATTTCTATATATGCATAAATAATGTTATCAATAAGTAATTACAATATCATATATTCATCATAATCAATCACAACACAAAACTTATAATAAGTGAAGAATAGGAAGTTAGGTAGGGACTTACTTGGATTGCCTCCGTCAAGTTACCTATGACCATTCCCACATATTCCTCTGGACCATGTAGCTCTTGCATCTTTGGATTCCCAAAATAACCCCCTATGTAGTCATTACTTCCCATGCTAATGAAATAAACAGCTTTCGATATGATCTCCGTCACATTTTCAGGCCCTAACTTTTTTATTAGCGATCTCTCTAACTCCTCAAAATGCCTTAATTGTGTTCCAAGGTCGATAACCTAGTATATGTATGTACATTATTAATGAATTAACCACATCATATCAACCCAATCATTTTTTTAAAAAATACATGCAACTAATTTTTCAACATGCTTACATAAACAAATTGTATGAATTGGTACTAATTAAAGAATAAGGAATGTGATACACTAACCAAACCCTCATGGGTGGTAGAAAGAATCCCTCCTCCTCCAGAGGCAAAATTAGCTCCACCGCTATAGTCAGCATTTGGTTGCAAGTAAGGAGGGAGCAATGGAAGCTTTGCATATTCAGCTGCACGTAGTACGTGTGCATATATAATCAAGATTGAATAATCATAGGGATAACTCAGTCAAATTTTTTGAACTATTCATTTAATAACCACAAGATTTTAAGTTGGATTCCTAATAGGAGTGCGTCTATTGACCTTATTGGTTAGCTTCTTGGTTTGGACATATCAACTATGAAGAAGTTAGATTGGTTTATCATTTACCCGTCAAGATCACAATTAATGTGAGATTTGACACTTCAGATAATGGATGCTGGTTTCTTTGTGTTTCAAAAAATTGCATAATTATAAGCTTTAGATGATGAGATAGTTGCCATGTATGGTAACATAGTTAGCTTACCGGCTAATTTTTACTTATTTGATCATTATTAGTTATTTGACTTGATTAATTAGCTTTTTTTAATAGTTTTAAAATGTTAAAATTCAAAAAGTACTTATTTGACCATTATTATTTATTTGACTTGATTAATTAGCTTTTTTTAATAGTTTCAAAATATTAAAATTCAAAAAGCTGTTCAAGATAACTTTTTCTATCAACTGTTTAGAAAGTCATTTTAACATTTAATTTACCAAACAATTTTTACAATGAGCTAATGTTATCAACTAGTCAAACTCTCAACCCAATCAGTTAATATATAGCTATCATCATTTACCAAACACCCCAATACGTAAAATATATATATACCAATGAAATCGACGATGACACGGCCGTCGGAGAATCGACCGGTGGGGTGGTCGAAGAATCCGTTGTGGCCATAAGGCTCGAAGTTGGCCTGGTAATCGGGAACGGTGTCGATGTAGTTGTTGTTGCCGGCATCAACCGTGGAGTCTCCGAACACAAACAAGACCGCCGGCGACGAGGAAGATAACGCTTCTGTTTCTGCCGCAACACTGCGCTGCTTTAAGATCAACAACACAAACAACGCCAACAAACAACTACTCAAGTCAACGTTCCTCATGCCTGCAAAACACGATCAACAAAAACACCAACTTATCATATGAATCTTTAATTTGCTCCTCGATCTTGGTTTATTGATTCCAATATATGCTGTGTGGTTTGAGCAGACAGTATATGCTGTGTAGTATATTGTGATGGCTAGAGGACAACGATGATATATATGAAGATATCATCAAAGCATTCCTTGGAAAACATCGTAGAATAAAGCCGCTGAGAGCAGCAAAGACAAATTGAGCAAACAAGAGTATTTAATTTGGTTGGTTGCGGGAAATTGGACTATAATCATAAGTTATAACCTCTTCCATGACTTTTCAAATTTGGTGCTTACTAAATATTAAATCATGGACTGACTTTCTTTATCTTTTTATTTGTTTTTGGTATGTAATTTTTTTTTTTTTTATTACCTAAATGTTATATTAGACTACTTGTCTGGTTGAAGACCTATCATTGATCTTGTTTTCATGATATTTTGTTTTGTCATGTGGGTCGAACAATCAATACAATTGCTCATCTTTTAACTAATTTTGTAATTACGCAGTTAATTAATAGAGTCTGGAATGATTCTGAACCTCTTTTTATTTCTTATGTTATTTTGAAGACTTAAGTGCTGTTTAATGATATTTCCTTTTCCTTTAAAAAAAATAATTTTAAATTTTAGGGTATGTTTGGTTCGCAAGGAATTGGAATCGGAATGGGTATCAAATACTTGGTAATGATAATGGGTTTTAGTGAAAGTATTTAACATGTTTGGTAGTAGGGTGGAATGAGAATGATTACTAATAGTAGTAGTTAAGAATGAATAAGGGAATTAAACCATTATTGTATTTGGGTATGAGTTTTTCAATTGATGGGGTATTCGAAACCCATAATAGTGTTCTAAAAACCTATTATCCAAACAACAACAATCACTTTCATACTCATTCCTATGGGCAAAACCCACCAACCAAACACACCCTTAGTCTTTTATGTTTTTTTTTTTTTTTTAAAGTCTTTTATTGGGTCTTAACTCAGTTTTCCCACTAGAGTGTTCCAGTTAGGCCCATTTAGGCAGGCATATTGGGCCACTGCATAAATGGATCACGAAAGTTGATTGACTAATTGACCCGGATAGAGATATTATTTTATTATTTATTATTATTTACTTGCCCAGAAATGGAGGTTATCTTCAAGAATCTAAACTTGATCAATCAAAGTTTTATGAGGTTCACGGAATAAACAAATTAGAGAAAGAGCAGGAGGAAATCCTTAGAAAACTCCAAAATCCAACCTTTCTCGTACCAATATATATTTAAGGTATTTGTTGCTGTTTTTTATGATTTTTTGATTTATACTTCATTCAATTTCTAGCTTCTGTTGTATTGTTCCCCTTTCTGTTGATGCAAATGCTGTCACTCGGATTTCTTTCTCCCCAGATAATGGCGGTTTAGGCCGTCGGAATAGTAGTGCTCCACTTGTGTTTGTTGGATTGCCCCAGACAAACTAAAGATTCGTTGAACGTAAAAATTTCTGTAAAAAGTGCTAAAAATTGTAGACACATCCACACAAATCATCGGAAATGTAACAAGTATTGAAATTTTGATTGGTTTTCTATGTTCTAATTCAAGGTTGTATTTTGTTTTATGGGACAGAATGCTTTCCTCGTTTGGCATTTTTGTCTGCGTTTAATGAATTCATGGTGACATCAGAAGGTAAAGTTACATATTCTTCACTTTCTGATCTAGAAATGAATAAGGGAAAAGGTCCTTGCAATGAAGAGTTCAGTGATGCTGCCTGGACATTGACAGAAAAGAACAATTATTTTTGTTCATACCCATCACTTGAACCTGATGATCTAGTGGATGGAGGATATGATACCTGTGATAATTACTATAGCTCTATGGTGAAGAGTGGCCCTCCTGAGGTTAACGTGAGAAATGTGTTGAGTGGTATATTTGCTATCTTGATGGGACGCAATAAAGGTGCTCCAATTGCGAATTTAGTTCCACAGTTGCCTAGTGCAAATTCGAATGTTTCATTTCTTGGGTCTGGAAAGAACGGAGAGACGTTCGTGCACTCCTCTGTGTATATACCGAGTGCCCCGCCACTGATTCAGCCAAATGTGTTTGACTATAATGCTTACAAGGAGGTCATGGAAGCCGAACCTCCAGAGTGGCTTCCAGACAGTTCATCTACGATCTGTATGCAGTGCACGGCTCCCTTCACGGCCTTAACTCGTGGAAGGCATCATTGTCGGTTTTGTGGTGGAATTTTTTGTAGGACATGCTCACAAGGAAGGTGCTTATTGCCTGTTAAGTTTAGGGACAAAAACCCACAACGGGTGTGTGACACCTGCTACGAGAAACTTGACCCATTGCAGGGTGTACTTATAAATACCCACAGCAATGCTGTGCAGGTTGCAAAGCATGATGTCACAGACTGGACTTCTACAAGATCCTGGTTGAACCTTCCACTGGGTTTCTCCATGGAGGATGAGATATTTAAATCATCTAATTCTTTGAGGAGTTATGCCCAGGTCTATCCTGTATCTTAATTTAGTCGTCTTCTATTTTTATTTTTATTAAGGAGTACTATTTTAGGTATTCATTCGATTCAAAAACAATTTGACCACGGGTGGTGTTGTGAAAACTGTTCAGAATGTCTCTCCCTCTGCTGCCCAAAATTATGTGAAATCCCCCGTGCCCTTTGTTTGGAAGGGGGATGATAATAAATGGGATTTTGGTGGTTAGATCATGTCATGGTAGAGCGAGCTATCTTTACATAGTCAAGTTGATGATTTGATGCACTTTTTTTGAGTATTAATGAATTCTTGAAATTGAAAGGTTGCTCGGCTTAACCCTGAGAGGGCCATTCCTACGGTTATTCTAAAAGGAGCCAAAGGTTTAGCAATATTGACAGTAGCCAAGGCCGGGGCTCTGCTTACTTATAAACTTGGAACTGGGCTAGTTGTTGCACGAAGATCGGATGGATCATGGTCTGCGCCATCAGCTATAGTCTCGCTTGGTTTGGGATGGGGTGCACAGGTGTTCTATCACTTCTAAGTTTTCCGAATTTGGATAAATTCTTTTTCTCTAACTTACACTGACCAGTTAAAGTATTGACCTTTGTCTTCCCGCTTTCCTTATAGGTAGGAGGCGAGCTCATGGACTTCATCATCGTGCTACACGACTCTAAAGCTGTGAAAACCTTTTGTAGCCGCATGCATTTTTCTCTTGGTGCTGGCTGCAGTGCTGCAGCGGGTCCAATTGGGAGGGTTGCGGAGGCTGATCTGCGTACTGGAGATAAAGGTTCCGGGATGTGCTACACTTACAGTTGTAGTAAAGGTAGCCTGCTAATTAAATCTCTGGCCTATTTATGAAATCATATAATTCAACAAGATTGGTAATAATTTGAGCTGGTTTGATTGGGGGGGAAACGCAATCTTGAAAAACAACATTTCCCTTCCAATTAGCACACAAGTCATAGTAGACACAAGAACGAAAACCAGCTTGGTTGGCATGAGTGGCGTGCACTCCTCATCCCTTAAGAGAGGTCGGGAGTTCGAATCTCCTCTCGTATCGAAAAATCAATTTGGCCAGCACTTTGCCCCTTAATTGGGCCGGGCCGGTGCAAATGAGGATTAGTCTAAGTATGGTACGGGCTTAAAAGTGCTTCCTACAGTTAGGGCCTGCTCAGGACACCTCATGGCTAAGTAGTCTCTTCTGTTGGATCTCGTAGCAATCTAGAATAGATCAACTAATTTGCGGATGGTTTTGCTGTTACGCTTTAGGTGCGTTTATTGGAGTCTCGCTCGAGGGGAACATCGTTGCAACAAGAATGGACGTGAACCTTCGCTTCTATGGCGATCCGTATCTTACAACAGCAGACATCCTTCTTGGGACAGTTGACAGGCCAAGGGCTGCTGAGCCATTGTACTCAGCTCTTAAAGACCTTTATGCCAAGCTTCCAGCCCAGATTCAGGCAGGTTCTCTCTGAGACCTCTATCTGTTGATGATAAATTGTACAGTATACACTTGAGAACACTTCATATGGAGATAGTTATTTATATCATTGCCATACTTCACCTATTAGTGTTCAAATGGAAATATGGAATAAACTTAGTTCTCTTTAGACTAGGTTTCACATTCTTGTCTTATAAATGAAATCATTATTTATTGAGCTAGTTGGGTTGCTTTATTATTACCAAATATTAAAAAAATAATAAAAAATCATGGTACTATAAAACAAACATTGTGTCTCTATCCTTGATTAATATCATATACTAGTGTGACAAACATATACTTTAAGTAAATTCACAAAATAATGATAAAACTTTTATTTCTTTAACAGTAAACATTACAACATGAATTATTCTTTTATGTTTCAACGAACATGCACTTTAAGATATATCATGTTCGTTGAGTAACAATATAATTTATCACCCTTTATATAGCAACAAATTACAATTAACATCTAAAAGTGGATGATGAGTGACATCCAAAGCCATATTTGATAGTGTAGAAAAATCAATCTCTTAAGTAAAATCCCCTTCCCTCTTTCTACATACAAACATATATGTGAAAATCAAATCAACAATCAAAATTATATTAAACCGTTCCCAAACCAGCAGTGTATTTGACACCGGTCGACGGCAACCAAGAATTGCCTAGAATAAATTGTGCCACCGTGAAGTCGTCGGCCTGAGTAGAGTCGTTTATAACGTGATAACCCGGCCAGTTGACTCGGCTATCCAACCCGGCCCCCGGTCCATAGTTCATGTACTCCCCGTAGTATAGTGTATTCAATGCAAAATTCCCGTTCCATTCCAGCCACCCTTGTGGCTTTATGGCATTACTCAAGAACGATTGCATTATTACGGTTCGTGAGTACAGCTTCCACGGTCGTCCGAGGTAGGTGGCGGTGGAGTTTCCGGCGGCGATGAGGTCTGGGTCTCCGGTTATGTTGCAGAATTGGATGGAGAAGCCAGTGGGTTCGGTTGACTCTTTTCGGCCTTGTGCCGTGATGGTATTCTTCTGGTTGGGAAGGCCCTTCCTCGCCTGAATTTGACAGTTTTGGAAGACTACGGTGCCGTCGCCGAAGATGAAATCAATTGTGCCGGTGATTGTGCAGTCCCGGTAGAATTGACGCATGGTGTGTGCGTAGAGAGTATCTTGGTAACCCCTCATAGCGCACCTGTATATCACTGATAGATCGGAATCTGATCGGAATGCCACCGCTTGGTGCTTTTGTGGCCCCGCCGTGTTCTCAAACGTAATGTCTCGTGCTATAAATCCTCGGCCTTTCACGGCTGCACACAAACACACATACATACGAGTAACCTCAGCCAAGTTGGTTAAGTTGTTGACTTGATAATCACAAAATTATAAGTTCCATCCTAACGAGAATGAGTTTATTAAATTTCTTTATTTTTCTCTCAAAGGTTGAATCCCCAACCCTAAGGCCCCACACTCCGACTCGACAGAGCATATGAGAGGATGTAAATTTCTTTATTTAAAGTGATAGTGACCCGTTTAAGTTTACCTTATTGTAATCCTTAGTTACAGAAAACTCAATGCACAATATCAGATAATCATTATTGATTTCTCTCAGTCACTCAAACACACTATAAATTATAAAAGGGGACAAAGGGTATGAAAGAATTTTTAATTCTTTAAAAACTAAAATTAGAAAATGTATTTATTTTAAAAAATGAAAACTAAAAAAAGTAGAAAAATAAAAAGTTTCATAAAGTAAAATTGAGAAAATGAAAAATAGAAAAATAAAATAAAAGCAGGTACGTTACCGAATGTTGCAGAGCGGAAGGTAGTCCAACCGTCAATGAAGCTCCGGTTACCGGAAATAACGGTAACATCCATGCCGTCTCCGATCATCATTATATTCCATTTCTTCTTACTGATTTCCACATACTCTCTGTAAACTCCCTTCTTCACATATATAACAAAGCGTTTGCTACTCAATTCCGGGGCCGCAGAAACGGCGTCCATTATGCTACTGTAACTCCCCGTGCCGTCGAGCGCCACCACCGCATCCGCCGCCACCCCGCCGGACTGCAGAAGTTTCCGGTCTTTGGGTTTCAGCCAACCCGGAAACTTTAACTGATCATCAATATTATTATTACTGAATAACTTTCTGCCGCCCCCGGGATGATGACCGCCGCTACCCTTTCCGCCACCACTGATGGGGCTTTTTGGTTTGGTCTTGCCGTCGGAGACCGGTCGGACCTTGCCGAGGATGTCGCCGATCAAGGAGGTTACCTGGTTTAAGCCTCCGGCCACCAAGTTTTTGACCAAACCGTTTGTGCCGGCGAAGCCTTCAATGCATGTATCTTGGTTGATCAGTGCAGCACTTAACCATGTCCTTAAATCATCGCTCAGATTTCCGGTGCTATTATCTTTTTTCCCTGTAAATTTGATCAAAATTATGATTCATGCATATATTAAAAAAAAAAAAAAAAAAGTGAAAATGACGTATACAAACTTTGGAGATAGATTATGAACAATGACACATAATAAGTTGGATAGTCGCAGTGTAGGAGTTATACACAATATCGTGATTGTGTATATAGCTGAGACACTGATCTTCTCACTTAATAGACAGCTAAGTGATCATATTTACCTCTCCACTATTCTGTCAGGCTGAAATGTGTGAATAGGACAAGTAAATATGGTTTTGTTTAGTTACATAGCTAACTTATCAGCCAATTATTAGTGTATAACTAATTAACATTTTGTAACAGTTTATTGTTCCAAAATGTTAAAATACAAAAAACTGTTTTGAGAAAATTATTTTATATGTAATTAAACAGTTAATTTGCTAAAATGAAGGTTGAAGCTGAAAGAGTAGTGAAAGCAACGCACCGATATTAGGATTCTGGGAAGCGTCGAGAGTCCAAGAAAGTTCATCGGCGGAGAGGTCCAGCAGATCAAGGCAATCGGAAACCGCCGTAGCAAGCCGGAAGTCGCCGAAAACATTGGCGAATTTGGCCACGGCGGAAGCGACATCCTTGACGGCGTCCAAGGTGGACTTGACGGATCCCACGAACTCCGTCGCCGGCACCCTCAAGCACTCCGACGGGATGAAATCCAACTCCCCGGCGCCGGAGCTCCCCGACCCAAACGAACACAACAGAATTGCCACCAACAAGACAACAACAGTAGTCCCCGAAGGCGCCATTTTACACAACCCACACTCCTAATTTCCCGCAACAACTATGATATACGTACGACCACTCAACTATTATTATTAATTTTTTCCGACGTAACACTAACAAGAAACAACAGATTAAACCAAGACAGTACGATGAACAAAACAAGTACAGTTTGGGACCAAATAACGGTCTGGGCAGTTCAAAAACCCAATCTTTTTTTTTTCTTTAAAATTAAAAAATATTGTGAGTTTGGAGTGAGGGAAGGGTGGGGATGTCTGTGTGTATATATATATATATATATATGATTATATTATTTATATATACACACACAGTAAGTCAGTAATGGAAGCTGAGGAAGAGAGGGGTTTCATTTAATGGTGTTGTCGGCTGACAGGTGAGGGCATTGATGATTGATGGATGAGAGATAGAATGATAGAAAGAGGATAGGGAAGAACGTGCGAGTTGTATTTAGCAATTAATATATGCTGTGAGCTTCATTTGATCTAACAAACAACCTTACAAATCGTCTCTGCTGTGTTTCTGACTATGTTCCATGTTTTATGTTTATATAGAGCTGAGGATTGATTTTGGTTCATAGGTACTGGGGATAGATCATAGAGGGATGAGTGTCGGCGCACACTTGTTTTGACATCCAAAAACACTTTAATTTAGTACACTCAGTAAAAAGGTCTGCGTTTGATTCAGGTTATACATACATTGTATTCCCAATTTTATATTCTGGGGAATTTCATATCTGATCACTTGACATTCTGATTCTGAACAACTAAAAAGGAGCGTGGTATAACATTCTCTTTGGTAATGTAATCTTTGGGAGGCGTTTAGTTCAAGTTATCTTACCTAATCTCAAGAATATTTTGGCTCAGTATACATGATTACTGGTTCATAGACAGTATTTTGGCTCAGTATACAGGATTAGTAGTTCATAGACAGTATTTGGGAAAAGAGGTCAAGATTCAAACCTAGGTAATGTGGGGATTATGCCTAAAGTGAACAGATTCCTTGTGTGCACCGATATTTGGTTTTGTTTGCTGAGATATTGAATCACCAAGATTTACATGCTCCCAAATGGGCATTTGATCGTGTCTACTGAGGTATTGAGTCACCGTGATTTATATGCTCACAAATGCTCTGTCGAACCAGGGTATGAGAGCCCTTAGGATTGGTGATTCAACCTTTTGGGAGAAGAATATTTTGGATCAGCAGACTATGTCAAATGTTGGTGCGCACAAAGGATTTATCTACTTTAGGTATAATCCTCACACTAAATTAGTGAATTAAACCCGTGCAAAAATGTTTATTATTATGGTGATGAGATTTTAAACTTTTGTTTTATTTATTTTTGGTAACATTTTGGGGATCACATTACTTCCATGTTCTTAAGTTATGTGAGATTATATAAAAAATGTTAAGTTCCTCAAAACATTTTTTAACTAAATACCACCTTAACGCTTAACTTTATACTTTTGGCTTAATTATTTTGTCATTAAATTGCAAGTTTAATTTCTTATATATGAGGGTGTCTTTATCTTTATATATGGAAGAACATAAAAGCAAAGATTAATTAGAGAAACCTGAACATAGTCACACCCACAACATCAATGATTATATTCTTCACATTTATATGTATATATTACCATCATTTTATATTAAAGGGTCCATTTGGACGAGTTAAATTTTGATTCACTTCTAAAATGGCATGAGCAAGTTACAATTAAACAGATTAAAATCAAATCACGTGAAATTTTACTCATGTGATTTTAATTTTTTATTCGAAGTATTAGTATATTATTTGTTAAACAATTAAGTTTTATAAATAACCAAAAAATTTAATATAAATTATTAACAAAATAAAATTTTATAAAGGATAACCGCCCAAATAAGGCAATTTATATCCTACACCACGGACCAGGACTATGTGGTCTAATGGTACCCGGGTTGGACTTCCATTTGGAAGATTATAAGTTCGAGCCTCAGTGGAGGCGTTATTGGTTCTTTGTGTTTCAGTAGGTTGAGAAAGTATATGAACAGATACTACAATGTAATAGAGCCAGTAACTTTCAAAAAATATCCTACACCACGGCGTACATTGCACTATGCGCCCAGATGCAAAACGACGTCGTTTTAATTATTTTTTTTTTTGAAATTTCCCGCCCCAGTGAATGGCAGTAGGCTTTTCTTTAAAAAAAAAACCCGCTGTTCAAGAATGTACATAATGTTATACTTGAATACACATAATGTTATACATGAATACACATAATGTTATAACAAAATATACATACTCTTTTTAAAAGATAATACACATAATCTAACATAATACATAATAAACATAAACTTTTAACATAATACACATCAACTCTTAACATAATACACACAAATTTTCTGATTCGGATGTACATAATTGTATAAAAACAATGTACATAATTGTATAAAAAATACACATAACTATATGAACCAATACACATAACGTTGTGAACGAATACACATAACGTTGTGAACGAATACACATAATCTCAGCAACTTCCTACCGCACCTCCCAACACGACCCCAAAACGACGTCGTTTTGGGAGGCGCGCGGCGCACAGTGCTATGTACGCCGTGGTGTAGGATATAACGATTGCCCAAATAATTTGCCGACTCATACTTAATTTACACGAATTAAAAATCATTAAAAAAAATCCAAACTTTTTTTTTATTCAGACCACGAGGTGTCCTGCACAGTCTTAATGTGCATTTTAAGTCCAATCATTATTGTGTGGATCATGGTCCACACAGCTTATGTGGATCATATTTTGTATACTGTAAAATAATGTACATTCAGTACAAAAATAATGTGTTTTTAGTATATTAAAAATGTATATTGTATTTAGGGGATGTACATTATTTGTGTACTGAGTGTACATTTTATTGTATAATTTACATTCAGTACACAAATAATGTACTTTCAGTATATTAAAAATATACTTTTTGTTATGATCCACACAGAACTGTGTGGAGACTGTGGATCATGGTTCACACAATAATTTATCATCTTAAACTCGTATCATATTCAGACTAATCTCTATTCATACCAGGCCAGCTTAATTAAGAAGGAAAATGACTACATCTTTATTATGTTGTTATTGGCTTTATTATACATTCCAAATTTATTTTAACTTTATTATGAAGAAAAAAAAAAGGGTTCAAAATGACTACATCTTTATGTCGTTATTGTCTAATTTAATTAGAAAACGGTAAGGGGTCGGTGACGCGTCTAGTCTGCCGAAGACGCTAAAGCTATGATTCATAGGAAGTAGTAATAATGTTAGAAAAGTACTTCGTGTGCTCTTAAAAGAGACAAATTTTTATTTTTTTGGAATAAAAAATAAAATAAAATTTGTGACACTCTAACTTAGTAAATTGGAGATGTCGGTAAGCAATTAAGTTGAAGTTAGAAGATCAATTTTTAAATTTTTGAATTAGCTCAAATGTTAATTAGTACATTAATTCAAATTAAACCACCTAAACAAGAGAAGAAAAAAAATTAAAAATCATGTAATATTACTTTATAAACAGTGTCATTATCTCAGGAATCTTTAAGGCTTTTGTTAATACGCTTTAGTCCTTATAAACCATTTATCGAGTTTGGTGCTTTTTTCCAAATTGTCCGTGCCATATATTTAACTTTCCATATGTGGCTTAGAAGCAAGTTATTTACATAGGTTTTTTTTAGTGCGAATCTGTGAGCATATATCCAACATTAATGTGTATCTAACTATTAGCTTAGGCTTTTAGTTGAGATGGAGCATATGCTTCAATTTTGTATCAGAGCCAGACCAAAGGTCATGGGTTCGAATCTCAACGTCACTCGTAAGCGACTACGATTAACCGGCTTAGGCTTTTAGTTGAGATGGAGCACATGCTTCAATTTTGTGTAATATTTACAAATTACAAATCACTAATACGAAGTAAGTGACTTTTTTACAAATTACAAATCACTAATACGAAGTAAGTGACATTAAAAAGCTAAGACTTCATGTAGCGAACTTGTTAGAACTAGATTCATTATAAATCGGGTATGTAAGTACAGAACGCGTGATTAGAAAGCTAAGATTTCATGTAGCGAATTTGTTGGGACTGAGTCCACTATAAATCAGGTATGTAAATACACAACGCGTGATTAGAAATAGTAGTATTATTATTTGAGGCACTAGGCCCAACAAACCCTGGTGTATGGGTTAGAGGCTAAGACCATAAAGCACCAAGCTATGGAGGTTATTATGATCCAATGGATGATGTCTTAAGATGGAATAAGGATGCCTTATATAGTGTAGAAGGCCTTTTAAGATGGTTAACAAATGTACGGCATCGGCAAGTCTTTAATACATCTGGTACCACCTTTTATATATTGTTTAGCCCTAGGCTTTCTTCTTTCCTTAGCCCAATAAATTTTCATTATTCTTATTCTTATTGGGCCAACACCTCACCAATAAAGATCAACACCCCACTTGAATGATTTAGCCAAGACTTTCCCAATAAAATGAACTCTCAGAGGTCACATGGCCTCATCATAACTCGACAAAGAAGATGTTGGTAAATTTTTATTTTTACATGTATACTATGTTTTGTCAGCACACATGTTAATGGTACTCAATACAATCAAATATATTTACATGATTTTTCTTATGTATAATTCGTGTTAAGCAAGATCTCTCTCTCTTTATATATATATATATATATATATATATATATATATATATATATATGTATATATATGATGTCAAACGCGGAGGGATCTTGGTAGTGCATGCCAGATATTGCCAGTGGCCGGAGGTATGTCCACGTCCTTCTTTTCCTTATTCTAAAGATAAAGATAACTACTATTAAGAGGGCCCCTCATGATCTCTAATCTCTTTTACATTGGGTAATTGGGTATTAATGTTTTTTTAATCATTTGCTATTTTTGTTATTGATTACATAATTTTTTTATTACAATCAATATAATTATTCATATGCGATAATTATGAGCACAGTTCTACTACATGTACTCCCTAATCTAATTCTCTAAATTTTACTCTCTGATGTAGTAGATTTTGATAAGTGTCTACATCAAAGTTTTGTGTGTGAGAATACAAGTTGAGAGTACAAAATAGGAGTACATGTAGATTTTCCAATAATTATATATCAATCACTATACGGGTAGCAGTACGTGTCTCTGGTAAGTTATACTACGGAGTATATATACATATATAGGGTCAGGTTCTCGTGCAAACAGTGCTTTTCGTGTGGTAGTGCAATTATGCATCATTAAGTACACATAAACGCATCACAAAGTGTTTGAAAATGAATCCTTAGGTGTGGTGCATTTGTGCATTTCATTATGGTGCATTTTTAAATATTGTGTAGTGCATTTATGCATATCTAATGATAGAATTCGCACGGAAAGCTCTATCCTCATTTGAATCAGTATATATATATATATATATATATATATATATATATATATATATATATATATATATATTGCCTTTACTTCCTGTTTAAGATATCTACCTTCTCACTCCTATAATAATAATAATAATAATAATAATAATAATAATAATAATAATAATAATAATAATAATAATAATAGCAAAGTTTATGTTAAAAAGAACACTAATATTGGGTGCTACACTGCTACAGTGCTACTTTTCCTTTTTGGGAACCATCTTTTTCACTGTCAAGAATCTACGCCATGTTCTTCTCAGATTACCAGATTCGCTTTTCCACTCTACATACCATGCATGCATGCAATCATTTCTACAATATAAAATTATGCATGGATCATATAATTATATATAAAGTTGAATGGGAGTATCATAAATCCACATTTATTTTCGAAATGTGACAAAGATTTTCCATTTTTTCAACTTTATAGGTATATATAATTGAATAATTAATTTCTCATTTGCCAATTATTCATTTTGAGTATTTGAATATACAAATTCACTTTAAACTCAACACAAATCAGTAGTGGAAAACAATACCTCAACATAATCACTCACATGTTATTTTCTTGCTAGTTTCCCAAGAATAACATATGTTAGGAGAGTTCCTTCGTGTAAAGTCTAACCGGAATTTGATTCCAAACGAAATTGTAATTTTAAAAAATTACAATGAACATATATTTTTCCCAATTAAATTTTTTAGCCAAATTTAAAAATTTTCATATCTCTAATGAGCCGTCAAAAAGTTTGCGACCACACAAAAAAAAGTAGTCATAAAAATAAATTTTTTACTAAAGCTCGAAAGATCTCAACACCCTTTTGATGGGGTTTTCAACCACCTAAAACGTGGCTAGAAATATGTAA